CAGGACGTGTTTTTGTGTTATTTTTCTAGTTTTTTTCCTGTGCCTCTGGAAATTCTAATTTCACATTTTCAGGGAGCCGCATGGGTTGGAGATTCTGCCAAGGGCGCTTATGAGACCACTGCAGAGAAATTGTCTGAGGTAGGATCTACTCATTCCTCCTTTCGTTTTTTTTGTATTCGTTTGGAAGGCGATTTTCTGAATAAGTGAATAGTAATGAGAACTTTTCGTTTAGTGAGTGGCACAGTAAGAGAAGTGTCGGCCTTGAAATATGAAAAGCTTATTCGAAATTCAAAACAAATATTAATCCTTAGAGTCATAATTTTTGAGTTTTAGGTTGAAATGCGTAAATCAAAAAATAGTAAGTCAATAAAAATTACAAATGGTAAAGGAAATCAAGTAAAATAAAACGAGAAGTAAAGTATATTACGAAATATTGTTGAATATATATTTTTCTTCGTGGTATCTTTTTCGCGCTAGGGAGAAGAAGACGATAAAACATTACGTAATTAATTGTAATTATTAAAATTCAATGACATATCCTTAATGTAATCAGTAATAATCGAATAAACATCAGAATAATCCATATATGTATTTACGAGGAAAACCATGTAATCCCGCTAAATGTAGAGGAAAAAAGTTAAATTGGTTCCAAAAAACTTATTTGTAAATATTATTATTCTTGATTAAATTTTTAGCAGAGACCAATCCAATCCAATATTTTGAGTTTTAGGTTGAAATGCGTAAATCAAAAAATATTGCGAAACATTATTGAATAAACGCTAGGGAGATGAAGGAGCCATAAGGCAACGAAAAATAATAGTTTTCAATCAGATCGTTTCCTTGTGGCGATCGTTCGACATTACTTTTTTCGTTTTACTCTCTTTGTCATTTTGATAATTTGGCTTTTTTTGTTTATCGATTTGTTTTCACCAATAGTTCGGTTTTCATTGTTAAGGGCGCTTCATTGATCGGAGACACTGTAAAAAGTGCCTATGAAACTACGGCAGAAAAACTGTCAGAGGTAGATCCCGTTTGTTGTCCCCGGCTTTCGTCCTAAAGTAGAGGTGTAGATGTCGTAGACAAAGATAGTGGGCCAGGGAAATCTGCAGAAAAACCTCGATTGTGAAAATTCAATCCTTTTGTTTCAGGGCGCCACATGGGTCGGAGATTCAGCGAAAGGTGCTTATGACACCACTACTGGTAAACTCGCAGAGGTAAGTCTTTCATGATATAAACATCTTTTACTTCGAAGCTTGATTCCCATACGGGTCTTTCCGCACTTGGTGATGGTCCGTGGGTTGAGCAGGGCTCGTGTAGGTCAGAAGATTTGGACTGTGGCACGAAAAAAAAGGAATTGGCGGTGGCGTTGCACGCACAGATTTTGCAGTGGGAAGTACCGTAGTTAGCAAAACCCATCCATGTCCGAGGGCTCGATGGAATTGCTTCAGTGGAATGTTCCCAAATCCTTTCCCCTCTTGTTTTTTATTCTTTGTTATTTCATTATTTCCATTTATTTTCATCATCTTTTTCTTCTACTTTTCCTTTCTTTTCATTTTCTTCTTCAGTGATTCACATGAATCACATATGAGAGAAGGGCCTTTCTCAGAATTTTCTGAATACTCGCCAACCAGTGAACGGAATTTCACGGCCGCTTTCGATCACCTCTGATTTGATATGAAAAAGTAAAAGGATCTTGCTCATAGCAGATGAATTTAGACTGCCGACTACGTGGCCGACTCTGCGAAAGGCGCATATGACACCACCACCGGGAAACTTTCAGAGGTAAGGTTTTTCATTCAGGAAATAACACCAGAATTATTGTAATTGCTCTTTTCTGCCTTCTAAACTACGCTTTTCGCCGACCTTCGCGAAGTTCACGCTTAAATTTGTGATGAGAACGTTGTGTTATAAACAAAACACTCTGGTCCGACCGGGTGTTGAAGCCTGGCCTTCTGTGCTTAATGGGTAGAAGTGGTACCCACTAAACACTACGACAGTACTAATATTTCACGAAACCAATCTATTATGTCCAAAAAAACTTTGGCAGGCTCAACTTTTGCACGATCTAGGGGTAGGGTGCCCATAGGTTAGCCACGCATACGGTCCAGGGATTGAATCTCTGACTGACCCCAAACAGACCTACCGAGTACTTGGTCTTACAGGTTGTGCAACGGATCGGAGGGGAAAGGAAGGTGGGGAAGTAAGGCTTATGTCAGACTTTGCGAAGCGAGCGATCGCTAGCGTCTGCGGTCGCGTCGCGGCCAGTGAATCGCTCATTGGCTGGTACCGCAACGCGACCGCGGACGCTAGCGAATCGCTGCGATTCGTAATCTCTAAAATCGGCCTAAGATCACCAGCTTGAGCACATCTATAGATTACCTTATTCACGCGCTGGTGATAGTTCCCATAAGGCCGCCAGCGTGTCGCTGCCTGTCAACACTTTGTCGTAATTTTTTGCATATTTTTGACATCTGAATAGTGAATATTTTATCGATGACAGTAATTAGCTATTATTGGCTATATTATTTGGCTGTTTATTTTTGTTTATTTACATCACAAAATCCGCGGAAGTAAAGTTAGGGGGCCGCTAGATCGGACCCTTTCCACGGAGAGGCAAAAAAGACGCCCTCGTGAATGCGTTGAAATGGCGTCAGGGGTGACTGAGATAATACAACTAATCGTAAGAAAGCTCTGGCCGCATGAAACCTTCACAAGTGTGAAGAGAGGAAGAGGGGGGATGTGAGTAGAAGAAATCTCATGCTGATACGCAAACCCACTATCCTATTGGCTGACTTCTGTGCCTTGTGGCGATTATCCTGAAACCTTGGCTAACTTCTGCTTTGGCAGCAATGCTTCCAAAGTGTGTCATTTAAAACTACTCTTTCAGACTGCCGGCTATGTCGCAGACACAGCGAAAGGAGCTTACGACACCACTACTGAGAAGGTGTCGGAGGTAATGAATTGTTCATATGTCTTGGTTTCCTTACTTACCCATCACGTCTTTGCAAGTGTTTGAATAGTCATAATCTTTATTCCTCGGTGAAGATTCAGCTGATTGCTTTAGAGCGCTCACTGGGTCGCAGATACAGCTAAGGATGCCGTTCATACTACAGAGGAGACCGCGAAGAAGGTGAAGCTCTTTCTTTGTTCTCACTATCATAGCTTTATGGAGCTCTTTTGAAAATGCATATTTTAGGGTGCTGGCTGGGTGACTGAAACCGCCAAAGACACCTACAATACCACCACTGAGAAAGTAGCTGAGGTAAGAGCGTGAACATGAATCCGTTCCGCTATTAGTTGTTATCGAGGGATGAAACCGTTTTCGGCACAATAAGGGTACATTGGCAACTATTCAACATACTCGTA